CAAAAAAAAAAAAAAAAAAAAAAAAAAATTCATTTTTTCCCTCTTGCTGTGCCCTCTTCAGGTGCTGGGGGATGGTCCCCATCAGACAGTGACCATTATCAATGGCTTCAGGTTGACTTTGGCAATCGGAAGCAGATCAGTGCCATTGGAACCCAAGGAAGATACAGCAGCTCAGATTGGGTGACCCAGTACCGCATGCTGTACAGTGACACGGGGAGGAACTGGAAACCCTATCATCAAGATGGGAATATCTGGGTAAGTCTCTGTCAGAAGTGCAATGATACAGAATTGAGTTGCATATATGTACAAAGGGTAGGGGACTCACATGTCAAAATATTGCCAGCCCTTATCCTCTGAGCTACATAGTTGTCAAGATGTATCTATCGAAACCATTGAGAATTCATTTGTTTGTTAATTATGTTTTGAGTATGAAAGAAATTTTTCTTAGGCTACAATTTCTACTCAGTAGAGCAATAGGTCTTAACCTAGGCTATGCAGTTAAATTAGCTAAAGTAATTTTCAAGTGTAGATATGCTAGTCATTTCCAGACCAATGAATTAAGAGCTATATCAGTAGAAATATGATTGATGATGCTGACAGCTTTGTTGAAGAATGAGATCTTCAGTTGAAATAAAACATTTGTATGATGAGGAAAATAGGAGTGTGGGAAGAGTGACGTGGTTAGAGAATAGTATTGCCATATTATAATGACATTTTAAAATCATTTTACAGATGTATATTTACCTCTTATTATTTTACCATCGGAGAAGAACATACAATTTTATCCATGTACTCTTAAAATTTCTCAATTAAATTGGAAAGTTGAAATATTCAACCCACTGTTAAATTCATTTGAATACATTACTTAATGCTAAATGTAAAGGCATCTCTTTCAGTTTATTTTTAAAAGTAGCTACAACCAAAATCAAGTAAAGTCATAAATATTAAACAAAAAAAGGAGAACAAGGTGGTGGTGATGGTGGTAAAGAGGAAAGAGAAAAGAAGAGGAGGAAGAGGATGAGGAGGAGAAAAAAAGAGCAGGAAGGGCAGTGATTGATTTTTTTAAGTCCTGTCCACAGTATTAGGCAGAGTACTGCATATTTTCAGCTAGGTCAGGACTCACTTTTGTGAGTGTGTATTTTAAAAGCACTTAAATGATTTTCTACTTTCAGAGTTTAAAAATCCTAGCTTGGGTGTTCATTTCCACAGCAGTGTCTAATGATAGCAACTATCATGCGAAATAAGGATATAATGCCTGGATAATCAAAGGTGTCTGTCTAAGCAGTACTTTAGAAATAACTCCTTTCAAGACATAATTGCATGCTAAGAATATTTGTACATTTGAATGTATAATGCATAGGAAGCAAATAGCAGGGGAACTACCTTTTTATACAAAGTCTTCATTTCATAATTAAGATAATTTGAAGCTCCTGGCCTAGTTTATAGAACAGTGATGCTTAACCCTGGATAGACAATAGCCTCACCTACAGAGCTCTAAAACACATGGGTATTTATGTCCCGACCCAGATTTGGACTTAGTTGCTCTCAGGTAAGGGAGCATTGTGATTTTTAAAGCTCTCCAGGTGATTTATCTTGTGTTCCTCACATTGAGGGCATAGTTTAGATTTGTTCCAATGTGTGGTGATGGTGTGGGTGAAGGCAGTTTATAACGAAAACAATTGTGGGAGAAGCTAGGGGTGACTTTCATTGACATCCCGGGGATTGGGAGAGACAGAGATACAGAGAGAGACTAGAGAGATAGACCAGGGGGATCAGCCCAAATAACAGAGCCACTGAGAGTAAATAATGAAAGATTTGATGACACACTCTTCTAGTGAAGCACTCATTATTACCTTTCTGTAGCCTCTAACCCCAAATCAGATTAGCATGTTATAAAACTAATTGAGAGGCTGCAAGATAAATCCAAACTCCATTTTGCAGTCTGTGTTTTCATTAAGTCTTCATCTCAAAAATAAGACAGTGCTTACATGCTCTGCTGTCTGGTTCTGCTAAGACAGTAGGAAAGATGGCAGCTAAAGTGCCGCTATACTGGAAGTTGAGTTTACTTTTCAGGTGCTAGCAGGTAAAGATTGTCACATCATGTTGTGATTGAGTGAAGAGATCAAAGTGAGTAAGTCTAAAGAGAGTAAATTGTCCGGGATGCCTTGGACGCTTCTGGTAATATGTAAACTGCCACTGGTTTGTCAGAGAGAAAACGTTGTCCTGAAGTAAAAATATTACAAGTGGGAAGGTAGGTTGAGTCTACATGCAGAACTCTCAGCCTTTTCATATGATGACGAGGCATGTATTCTTATTTTCTTCTACCTGTCTGGTGTTCATTTTTTTTTTTTATTCTAGGTTTCTCATTAAAATTAGTATGCTCTGTGATGAGAGCTTATTTCTAGAAGAAGCCATAGAGAACTAATTTTGAAATTTTAAAAATCAAAACAAGTTTGAGATGCAATATAAATATTGTAAGATATTTTTAAGTGCCAATGAGCCTGCCACATAATGACTTTATTTTTACATCTGTGGAGGAAGTATGTTCATCTTTACTAATATGAGAAATAGCTCATTGCTTTGATATATTTTAAAAGAACTACAGGTTATTGACTCCTAAAAGTACTTGAATAGTCTAGCATTTTTATCATAACAAGCATTATGTCTTAACAAGTGATTAAAATTTGGTGTTTATGATGTCAACAAAAATACTTTTAGGCTTAAATTTACTAAAATAAAAAAAAATTTAGATTGTCTTTAAGCCATTATTAACATCAGACCAGTTAGACTTAGAAGAAATTTGTGACATACATAATATTGGGCAGCTTTTTGATAGACAATACTTCATAAAATGAAAAGTTTCAGGTAGTCAAAAGATGTAAAAGTGGATGTAGTTTTAAGATCGCCTTTCCAATCATTTGTATAAAGATTCATTTCCTGAGAAGATTAGAAGACAGCATAAATTCAGTCACTTGAATATTATTTTTATAACAAATGTCAGCAGGTCTCATTTCTATAATCTCTGGGAAATGGATGAAATGAGTAATTTTACTGCAGTATTTGTAAATGTCCATATGGATACTGAGCTATTTTTATCATAATTAAATAGTATATTAAAATGAGTAAAAAATAAATCATATAGATGAAAATAAAATAAGCAAAGATAAAGTCATGTCAAGGAGAATTATGACATTTTTAAAGGATTTTAAAGTCATGGGGCTGGGGATTTAGCTCAGCAGCACAGGGCCTGCCTGGTCGTGAGTTCAATTCCCAGTACCCGAGAAAAATCAAAAAGAAAAAAAAAAAAAAAGGATTTTAAAGTCATGAATCTTATCCTATGGAACTATACTGGCTCTTGAAAAAATTTCTAAAGATGGTTTATCTGAATATTTAATATGCAAAGATGTGAAATGCTAAATGTGCCTTACTAGCCAAGGCTTCTAATCCTGCTTGATAATTCTGAGTGTAATAGGATCCCGTATACTTTATTAACAATGCTATTTCCTTCTACTGAGAATTTCCTTTCCAATATAAAAGAAAAGCATATGCAAATTGGTAAAATTGTCCTCCACCAATCATTGTACTTACATATTCCTCAGCCCTAATTTGCATACTTCTCTTTAGTGTTTTTACATTTCCTAAGTGTAATCTGTTGAAGAGAAAGGAATTATTCTGTATAAGCATTTCTTATCAGAATTCCATTAAACGTTACATTAAAAAAGAATTCCAGCAGATTTTTGTTAAGAGGTTGCATTTAATTTTGCTTGGCAAATTCAATTACTGGTGTTGGAATGCAGATATTTGCAATCAAAATAGGAAACTAGAGTATTAATTGTGAATGACTTACACCACTATTTTTTGGTAAATACACTCTAAAAATTCACCTGTACTATAATATGGACATAGTTGTATTTTTCTTTTTTTTCCACCATCATGAGAAAATAGTTACGTATTGCTAATTCTTTTTAAAGAGTTTTGATTCCTGTGGTTAATGGTAAACAGGTATCAGACTGATTACGACTACATCTATTCAACAGAGAGACCTACAAGGCGCAAATGTTCCACCATATTTAAATTACATGATTAGATCCATATGAATGAATAGGTGTATGTATATTTGAACCTTTTCAGAAATCTGTAAGCAAATATAGTAATTGGTTGAATAAATACTTTGATTTTTTAATATCATATTAATGTGTGAAGCACATTTATTTGTTTATTTATTTATTTACTCTTGTATAGACTAAGCATTGTACCCTGGGCCTTCAAATGAGTTACACCTCTATCCTTTTTCTTGTTTTTTTTAATTTGGAGACATGTTCACACTAACATCTGTAAATAGGCCAAACAGAGGTTAATCTTCCAGTCCTATAGACTTTACCTCTCAGAGTACTGCAATTTCAAGAGCACATCGCTTCCATTCTTTATTTTTAAGTCAATATCCCATAGGTGCATATTTATATAATAAAAGTTACCAAATCATCCTTAGCTTAGCCTACATGTAATTATTTTGCAAATGAAAGTCAAAATACAGTCAGAAGGTCTCAATATTTGTCTTGCTTCATATATTTGTTTTGTGAATTTGGAGACAGGACATGCTTCTCTGGTCCATGAAATTCAGAACCTGAACAGTGGGAATAATACCAGTGGGAGATTGAACTGAAATTATCTAAGTAAAGAAATTTTGCAGTTTGCAGTGATTTAGCAACACATGTGTCATCAATCATAGAAACATTCCTCAAATTAAATACAGCACATCCTCTCAGTGAGAACAGTTTGCAATGATCATTTTCAGTTTTCTCCTCTCTATCTTTTGCTGACCCAATTTACTTGTGTTTACTCTTGTGCATGTGCTAAAGCATTTGACAATATTGTTAGTGAAGGAAGTACCGCTGAATAAATAGCCGGTAGACTGTGCTCAAGTGTTTGGCATCTTTTCCAAATCAACAAATGGAAAAGCATGTACAAATAGATCGGTAGACGGAGCAACGCAGGCTGGTCCAGGGACTCATGGCTGGGAGACCCAGCTGCGCGCCAAGCGCCATCACTATGCTTGTAACAGGTTATTTGTGCCCATAATGATGGCCCTGTGTGCAATGGGCCGTGTAAGGGGACACTGTTAAAAATGAATGGCTTATTCTGTCCCATCTTTTCAACCATTCTTTATAGTGGCTGTACTAATTTTCCAAATCACTTCAAAATCTGTTCTGATTATAAATGTAAAATGTAAATGACTCTTTCACAGTTCAGTAGTG